CAGTGCCGCACTGCGTACCCATTGGAATACGGAGGACCAGCTGTGGTTGGCCATTTCCCATTTCAAAACACGCTTGTGGGTTTCCTGTAGAATATACTCTTCCCTCAAAAGGAGCTCCAAACAGAAATGTGATGAGCATGTCAGCCTGTGTGCAGTCAACTCGAACTGAAGAGAAAACATAAATCCGTCTTCAAAATTGATACGTAAAAATTTAAAAATGGAACAAACAGTCATTAGAATTCTTTGTAACAATAGGATGGTGTACACATGAATTACAAGACAATAATAAATACTTTGTATGGAATGATCCAGAAGTGTAGTGTTTTAAGAAGAAAACATTTAAAAAATTATTTGTAGTAAAAATGGATTTTTGGAGATGATTGTAAAAGTGACAAGGAAAGATAAAATCCCAAAACCATGTAATTAGAGAGAAATGGGTTTACAAAATTATATTTTTGGTAATATAGAAATAAAACAATAACGTGGTATGACACGTCCAAAGAATGGCAGGCAACGGATGGCGCAAATAAATCCTACGGTGGATGCCACCAGAAAGGAGAAAGATAGAAAAAGACGAAGAGCCACGTGGATGTTTTATATTTGGGTCATTATGCTAATACATACCATTACTGCAAGACCCATGCTCACTATAGAAGAAATCTCTGTCAGCAAGCAGCGCTGTTTTGTCAGCAGCAAACGTGTCGTCCGAGCTGAGGAAACAGTCCCTCCTCGCAGTGTTGTAATTGAATGACCGACACTTAAATTCACGCTCTTCATCACACAGTCTCTTGCAGTCTGCTACATCAAAGGATTGAGGTACATATCGGTCCGTGTATGGTAGATATCTTCCTGGCATATTTGTGTATTCACAACTGGGAGGTTCTGAAAAAGAAAAAGTTAATTTATGTGTCACTGTTATTTCGAGTACACAGCTTCCCCACTTACGGGAAATAATCTGTATCAAAAGTTTTAACTTATGGATCCCCAAGTATTAGCCCATAACTGTAAATAAGAATGAATCTTGATGCATAACACCCTGTTAGCGCGCTAATACCGTGCAGAGACAACCGACCATGCAAAGATCAAAGGTTCAATCTAAATAACACGACAATTGCGGGACACGGCTATGAGTTTAGGAACTTACGCTGCGCACACTCATTCTCAATGTAGTCAACATCACTGGCTGCTCGCCTGAAGTGTTGAGGTAAGGTGCGTCTTGTATCTGGGCTCAACTTACACAACCGGTCTCGTCCATAATAAGTAGCTGATCTGCATAAAACATAAGACTACACCTCTGACAAATGCTATGAATGAAAATCATTGTTACAATTTATAAATATGTTCGCTCTGAATATATAATCCAGCTTCTCAGAACTTACACATTAAAAGTAAATCAGTTTCTGTATTTCATTAAATACATTGGCGACAAAGTTTACATAAGGCACCTGCAGAAGGAAACTTCTCTGTTAAATTCCAGAAAGCTACAACCCTGCTACTGTTGAAGACAGCGTGGGCTATGTTGACAAAGGAGACAATGGCTCACAGATATGTAATTAGACAGAGAAAAGCAGAAGTGTAAAAAATACTTTACTTCACCTACTGAATCTAATCATACTGAATAGCCATTATCATTCTCCCATCATGCAGCAGCAAAATTATATGCGACACATATTTTACATTTCCAAGTTCTTTGACACTCTTGCCTTTTGCTTTCCGTTTTTGGATTTGAGTTTCATTACATTTGGTGCAGTTCATCAGTGATATTTTAACAGAACTGTTTATAGCCAAGTGCCGAACTACACAAGAAGTTGCCTTCTGAAAATAAGCCGGATAAAGTTTGCAGCAACCTCCTCAATTCAATTTCCAATAAAAATAGGAATGACGTAACAGTTACTAAACAACACACATGCACGTGTTAAACATCAGCTATAATACTATACCTGCAAACAATCCGCGTTTCCTGGAGACATTCAACTTGGCATTGGCGCCGTCCAAACATATTTCTAACTTCTATTGAATTGGGTGCATTAAGTTCATAGCTGGGAACTCTTGTGAACGCCCATGCTTTAGGACACGTTCGTCCTACAGCAAACATGAAGACGTGTAAATGTGCTTGAATATTTTCATAATACTAATTTTTAATTTTACTAATTTGCGAGTGTTTGAAAGTTACATTTGAGTAATGAAAAAATTGGATTGTAATGTGAAAACGTTACAAGTATACATAATTGGTTCAAATTCACTGATTATTTAGAAACATTAATAACCCCATGGAAATGTACATTATTTTACCTTGCAGGCATATTTTCTGAAAATATGCAAGCTCAGGAGCTGAGACAAGTGCGCCGCCATCCGAGTCTGCTGACCGCTCAATAGAATAACACCTCTGGCGACCTCCTCGCACATTTTCGATAGAAACAGCAAGACAGCGATGTCTCATTTGCGCACACTGTATCAAACACTCCCCACTGATCCCAATATCTCCTCTTGTCCTAATTGGTTCCCTAAAATAAGAGATTAATTTTTGTCCGAATATTCACTCTGATTCAGTAAATGCGTTGCTATACGCAGAGTGAAATAAGGATTTGCCGAAAAACAGGATTTATGTAATACAAATGAGGCTTACCTGTGTGTACTTCCATAAGTAGCACCCGCAACCTTCTCATACGTTAGTGTGTAACGACAAGGGTATGGGGACAGAACACCATCTGGATCTGTGCCAGAGGGATACCGTGAACCCGGGTCAGGAGGGTAGGGTCTTCCAGGCT